ACAAAAAAGATGTAATCAAAATACTAAGTACTAATGAGAGGACTCCTCTCCATACAATGTATCTAGAAAACATAAACTAGGGAGACTTACCCTTTACAAGAAAGCCTATAACTAAACTATTCTATTCAAAGTAGCTATAATTTTGATTATAGCTAAGTTGAAAAGTAGTGAAAATAATCAAGGAGGTTCCTTAATTCTTTTGGTCTTCAACCTTCTGAAACTAGGCATCTGCAACAAATCAAGGTGATTGTATGATCTTGCTTCTTTAGGCATTTGTTGGATGTTGAAGTAAACTTGTGGAGAAGATGTCTTGTGACTGTGTTTTGAAAGTGCATCCGCCACCCAATTAGCTTCCCTGAATACATGAAGGCACTTGAAATTCTGGACTTGAGAAATGAGGTTTCGTAACCTTCCAGCTGTGTGATAATGCTCCATTGAGGAGAAACCTTCTTTAAGATCCAATGTACAACCAATTGGGAATCAAGTTCCAAAACTATATTTCTATATCCAAGTTCGATTGCCCAAGTCAAGCCAAAGATGGTTGCCTCTATTTCAGCCCTATTGTTTGTCCCATCTCCAAGTGGTGTTGTGAATGCCATCACCAATCTACCATTTTTATTTCTCAAAATACCTCCAGCCCCGATTTTGCCTGGATTATTCGTTGCGCTGCCATCAGTGTTGACTTTGATCCATTGATCTTTAGGTCTAGTCCAAGTCACCATGTTCACCTTGATATCATGCACTCACCTTTCACTCATTTGTATCAGTTCTGCTCATTTTGCTGGCCATTTAACATGCGGAAAAACGTTGGAAATCATCCTATAATTATCCTTGTATATGGCATATTTTACCTTGTTTATGTTGGTTGTTTTGCCCACGTATTTGGCAGCACATATGTTCTTCCAAAGGTTCCAGCAAATGAAAATAGGTGTGGTTTGTAGAAGTGCTTTGTGTGCTGCATTCCTTGGCTTGACAACCCACCATTGTTGTACTAACGCCTGCAGTGAGGAGCACTCCGGCAGCATGCCTGCAGTGGCAGCAAAACTGCTCCAAACTGCTGCTGCAAATTTTCCGCTACCGGGGATATGATCTATTGAGTCCATTTCCGACCTGTCAAAACAACAAACACAAGCTGCTGGCTGAATGCCAAAATCAATAATCCTATCGTTAGTAGGGAGTTTACCTATAAGGGCTCTCCATAACAAAAAGGAAGATTTAAAAGGAATATTTTTATGCCAAAGAAGAGAGTTGAAGTGATTCTTAGCCCTTTTTTCTCTAATCTCTTCCCCAGCTGATGAACAACTGAAACCACCATGTGTGTTGGGTTTCCATACTGCCAGATCTGGTAGATGCCAGAGGGGGGGAGAACTCTGTGGTTAAAATGTTGGAGAGTTGACTGACTAGTTCTTGTTCCAACAGTTTGCTCCAGCTCCATCTTCTATCTTCCCAAAAATTTGCCACTTTAGCATTATTGAATCTGTTGTTACTGGTGGTAAAGTGTGCTAATGGTCCATTGCCTAGCCAATTATCCCACCAAAATGAGCAATTCCCAGCTTGCAGCTTCCATTGGATGTGTTGCTCAACCCGTGGCTTATTTATCAACAAATTTTTCCAAGTTAATGATTCCCTATTATCCCTTTTTTTGCTTACCGGATTGGACCTTTTGCAATATTTTGCCTTCAAGAAGTCACCCCATAGTGTTTGCTTGGATCTGAAAATCCACCATTGTTTGAATTGGAATGCCTTGCAAACATCCACCATTGTTTGAATTGGAATGCCTTTGCAAACATCTTTCATGTTTCTCTTACCTATTCCTCCCTCATCATAAGGGAAGCTTAGGTTCTTCCATGATGCCCAATAATATTTCTTTCTATCACTATTCCGTCCCCAAAAAAATTTTGCTATAAGCATTTGAACTTTTTTAAGAATAGTAATAGGTGGAGTTACTGCAGACAGAAGATGGATAGGCAGAGCTTGTAACACATGTTTAGTAAGAATTACCTTGCCACCATAGCTAAGCTGTTTGGTTTGCCACCCTATAATCCTGCCAACAACTTTATTAACAAAATCAGAAAAATAGACATTTCTAGGCCGCCAACAAATAAAGGGAAGCCTAGGTAAGTAAGAGGACCTTGCTTTTGTTTAAAACTTGTAAGTCTTTTTATTCTATCTCTAGTGCTATTGAAAGCATTAGAGTGTAGCATAAAATGACTTTTATCTCCATTGATGAGTTGCCCAGAAGTATTTTCATACTCCTTTAAGGTATTCATATGGAATTTCAAAGTTTTGCTTCTTCCTGAAGTGAAAAGAATTATGTCGTCAACAAAACTCAAATGATTCACTTGGGGCCCTCTTTTTTCCATGAAGAATCCATGGTAATCAGGGTGATTCTGAAGCCTGTTAAGAGATCTCGATAACACCTCCGCACCTAAAATAAATAGGGACGGGGAAAGAGGATCACCTTGTTTGAGGCCTCTAGTAGAGTGGAAGAAGCCATACCTCTTACCATTAACAATAATTGAGTACCAATTGTTGGCCATGGTCCTCCAAACCATGTCAATAAACACCTCATAAAACCCCATTCTACTCAGAACTAAACAAATATATGACCATGAGACTCTGTCATAAGCCTTTTCCATATCTAGTTTAATAATGACATTACTTCCAATGTTGGGCTTCTTGATTTGGTGAATGATTTCCTGAGCCAGCATAGTATTTTAAGAAATACTTCTCCCTTTCACAAATTCGGATTGGTCAGTTGAAATATGAGAAGGAGGATAGGGCTAAGTCTGTTACTTACTAGTTTAGATATAATCTTACCAGTGAAGTTACTCAGACTTATAGGCCTAAGCTCAGTAAGCTTGTTTGGATTGTTCACTTTAGGGAGCAGTACAATGCATGAATGGGAGAAGTACTTAGGAATCATTTGGCCACTGAAAAAAGCATGAATTGCTTCCACCAAATCATTTTTGATAATGTGCCAACACTTTTGAAAGAAGTACCTATTCATACCATCAGGTCCAACTGCAGAGTTAGTACTCATAGAAAATACTACCTCTTTGAGTTCCTCCATACTGGGAATACTGGTAAGATGAGTATTTTGATCCTGATTAATCATTCTTGGAATACAGTCCAAGGTGTGCTCATGTATATGCTTGTCTTCACATGTGAAAATAGATTTGAAGTGCTCACAAGCAGCCTGAGCAATATTGTCCTCACCTTGTATCCAATCCCCATTTTTATTGATAATTTTGTGAATAAATAGTTTCCTTCTTCTTCCCCTTATAATGGAATGAAAATATTTGGAATTAGTGTCACCTTCTTTAAACTATTGGAGTTGGGTTTTCAGTTCCAAGATCTTATCCTCCAATTTAAGGAATTTACATATTGAGCATTGAGTTCATGGAGGGCACTCCTACTTGAGTTACTTTGGTCAAGGATGTATTTTTCTTAAGCTTCGTGCACTTGTTACCCATACATCCTAACCTTTTGAAAAATATCACCAAATTCATTTCTTGACCAAACACTAAGAGTATTTGCCAACCTTTTCATTTTCTAGTGGAATTTTTACATAGTATTACCCTCCACAGGCCTATCCCATCAATTTTTAACAGTATGCATAAAGTTGGGGTTGTCCACCCAACAATTGAGGAATTTGAAATATTTAATGTGGTTGGATTCTGTGGAAACCATTTCCATGAGTAAAGGACAATGGTCTGACCCCGTAGTTGACAAATTAGTTATGGTAGTTTGAGGCATCTTTTCTAACTATAAATCACTAACCAAAGCCCTATCAAGCCTCTTCCAAATTCTGTGAATGATGAATACCCCTCTTATTAGATTTAGTGAATTTGTGCCCACTAAATCCAATGTCTACAAGACCACAGGCTTCAATAACAGCAATGAAGTCCATACTCTTCCTCATATTGTATGGTAGACCTCCAAGTTTTTCATCAATATCAGATATAACATTGTAATCCCTCACTGCACACCAAGGATTGGCACTCACTGAGGCATGATGAAGCATTTTATCCCAAAGAGGTCTCCTAAGATGTTCTTTGCATTTTGCATAGATAAAAGTATTAGTAAATTGGTATGGTAACTCATTGTGTTTCATGTTGCGTTGCAAGCGATTTGTTGTTTATCTTCATCAAGAATATTAAAGTCAATATCACTACTCCAGAAAACCCAAATCTTACCATTATAATTACTAGTAGCTTTATCCATATTCAACTGTACTTTGAAATTTCGAACATTAACACTATCGGAGAAAGGTTCCAAAATTGTAATCACTGATAGATTGTGTAGCTTCCTTAGCATTTTGAGCCTTTCAAACACTCCTTGAGTGTTGATCCCTCTCACATTCCATGTGATTGTACTAATCATTGGGATGATCTTGAGGAAAATAATTTGGTATTAGGTCTGCCTGCAGTGACAGTATTGGCATCCTATTTTTTGAAATAGAATCTGTCTTGATGAAAACCCCTTGGAGATAACCCCTGACTCTCAGTTGCTTGTTGTATCTCATTCTCTATTGTTTGATTATTCTGAGGACTAAAAGCTCTAATAAGGGCCTCACTAGTCTCATCATTATCATCTTGATCATCTAGAGATTGATTATCTCCATCAAGTTCATCTTCAGAATTTACTACAACATACTTATCCAAAATAGGTTCAGTGTCAACTTTGGACTTTTGTTGCTTCCTATCAGGAGGATCTATCATTGGAGTAGTCATATACTGATCTGTAAGGGGGAAATATCCAATCCTTGGCTATCATCAATCATTACAAATTTTTTACATGATACTTCCCCTCCTTCCTGCTCATGATCACTGCCCCTGTTTTGCTGCCTGTTTTGCCTTCTTTTTGCCGCATCTCTTTTTTGTTTACTGGGCTTATTTTTTCTCTTAGGAATGTTGTCTGTATAACTAGTATCACTATGTTTACCCTGATCATTATCATTCCTTTTTTTAGCTTGTTGTTTCTCTTTATTTTCTTTGTCACTCTGTTGGTTGTTGCTGCTGTTGTTCTCTCTGTTTCTGCTTGGTTTGAACATTATTGGTGGCTCTAAGGTCTGTCCTAAGGTCAAGATCCAACCCCTCATGCAAAACATGAGGCAAATTCCCCCCTTTGGTTACCCCTTCCTGCAAGTTACTGGTTATCTCCTGACACCCCCCATCCATACCTCCAGAACCTTCATCAGAATGACCAACATCATCATTAATAGTAGAGGAGGGTTTGGGGTTTGGGAGAGATAATTTAATACCTGTGATTTTCTCCTTTCTGCTATTAGTATCCTGATGTTTTGTTGTCATGTAGGTGTTGGAATTGTTCTTGGCAGATTGGTCAGCAGCGTTTCCCTTTTTTAATTGCTCCTTTTGAATTGATGTTTCCCTTGTTCCATCCGACCCTGTTTGTTGTATTTCCTGCTGTTCTTGCATTTCTAAATTTGAAAAAATATTTTGAGTTGGAAGTTGAGATATACCTGTATTTTTCTGTACTTGCTGTTGGCTGCCACTGGTTCATTGTCTTGGGGGAGAGACGAGTCTCCAAACAACCTTGGAGTTGTTTTGTTCCTGACTTTTTTGGTGTCTCTTTTTTTGTGTTGCCACTGTTCTTCATGTATCTCTTCTTGTTGCCTTTGTTCACCTTGACTGTTATTCTTTTGGCTTTGTTGTTCGCCTGTCATTTGTGTCTTTTGCTGATTTTGTTTCAGCTCCTCAATTTTGGTTTTTGTTGGGTTGATTTGATGATCTTGTTGTATCTTCAAATGCCTTTCTTCCTTCTTCCTTACTGTTTTTATCCATTTCCAACAACTTCCTTCTTCCTTACTGTTTTTATCCATTTCCAACTCTTTTCTTTTTTTGATCTCTTCATCCCTTCTTTTGATTGTGCATTCTTCATCCTTATGTCCTTGGTGTTTGCAGTAGAAACAGTAACTAGGAATCCCTTCGTATTCAACTTTTAACCATCTACCTTTATTTGGGGTTTGAATCCCAACCAACCATGAGAAGGTCTTTCCTTAGTGAGATCCACTTGCACTTTCACCCTAGTAGTATTGCCTCTAGTCCTTTGGGATGTTGGAGAATCCAAAAATAACACCTTCCCAATACTCTCCAAAATAGTCAACAAAAAAACCTTGTTGTAACAGTGTCAAGGAAAGCCTGGGATAGACACCCAAATAGGAACAATTGGGGTTTCCTCCTCCGGGGTAAAATCTGGTGTCCAAGCTTGAATTCTCATAGCTTGTCCTTTAATGTTCATTTTCAATTTTGTCCAGACAGTTTGATAATCTAGTTCATTGTCCAGGTCTATATAAACGCGTCTAGAGTTGAAATGAGTAATCTTAACTCCCCCCCCCCCCTATCAGTTGAGTTTGTAGAATGAAGCACTTCCTCACTTGTTCCATTCTAGGCATAGTATTAGTAAACTTACCAACTAGAGTATATTTGCAAATTTCCGCCAATTTAACATAGTAGTCGTCCTCATGTAGAAGTACAGCTGGGAAGCCTTGTCTAGTAGTATGGACTGGCTCATTCAAGATAATAGGAGTTTCATTTTTTGCCTGATTAAATCTCAATCTAGCCGCAAAAGACTGTACAACAGTGTAAGGAGCAGGTTCCGCATTTTGATCATTTTTACTGTTGTTAGTAGGTTGCAAATGGAGCGGTGGAAGCGTAAAGAGAGAGTAATTAGAAAGATGAGAGATGTAAGGATGAAGGTGTGTCTTATTTATGAGGAAAGCTCCTCTATTTATACACATAAATTACACTGTCATCCTATTTACTTTACATAATTGGCCGACAAACTTTTTACATGATTGGCCGACAAACTATTTACTTTACGACTTTTGTACATTTGGCTTTTTTCAGCCGACGCAAGACAACAAAAATAAAAAGACTCTTACTTTATACATATGGCTGATATTCAGCCGACACAATAATACATATGATACTTTATACATATGGCTATTATTCAACCAACAATAATAACTTTTTTTTTAATGTTTTTATTCTAAATCAACTTGTAGGTATCACATTGTCTTCTCCGTTGCATTTGGAGCATTTGTGGTCTGGATATTTGTTGCTGATAAGTTTGCAATACCTTACTAATAATTCTTCTGAAATAAATCCTTTCTTCAAAGCTCTCGTAGATGGTTGTTCTTCTGGTTGTAACAATGACAAAATCCATCTTTGAACTTCGTCCATATCTGCTTTTCTTAGTTCTTTGGAGTTTGCATATATCATTACCTGATCTCTTGCATAATAGCTCCAAATAGCATTGCCATTTAAATAATTGTTTGCTAGCTCTTGTATAATCGTAGCTATACCAATTATTCTTTTATTTGCATAAAAATTAGGTATTTCTACTTTTGGTATCTCATTTTGTTTTTCTATCTCTTCTGGAATAATCATATCTTTTGTTAATCCTATCTTTACCACCTGTATTGGTGATTTTATCTCTTCGTATAATATCTCTACTGGTGTTGTATAACATTTTATATAGAATAAATTTCCTTTGGTAATTCTTTTATATGTTAGAAATGCTCTATGTAATTCTGGTATTCCTACTATCTCTTCTCCGGTATATGTGTATACTGTATTTAGTAGTCCGTAGTTGTAACATGTTTTTACTAGGTTGGGGTTGGTCTTAGGTTGTGCAATAAGTTTGTTATATCCTTGTAGTTTCTGGGTTATATAATCTTCTTCGGGATTTTTTGTTTGTATAGATCTTGGGTTTAGGTTTAGGTATGTTTGGATTTTGTATATGTTTTCAATGTAAGATTGGGTAATATAGTTATATCTTTTTTTGTCGTTTTGTAGGTTTACTGCATAGGTTGATGTTTGTGGTTCTGCTGGTATCTGCATTTGTGATTTTTGGGTAAATGGTTTTGCAAATAACTGGTTTAAGTTTGTGTTTTTTGGTTTTTCACTAGTTCTTTTACTTGTACCTGCAGCTGTATCTGAACAAACATTGTTATGGGTTTTCCGGAGTTTCCCAACTTCTCCTTCTAGCTCTGGCTGTTTTTCGTCTGCCGAACGACGTAGCTCCGCATGTTTATAGTCATGCTGCTGACTTGTAGATTCTACATTTTCTTCTAGCTTTTGGATTCTCAAGCCCATACTATCCACTTTTGTACAAAGTGTAGTTAGGGTTTTGAGTATGTTTTCCATAAGATTATCTTGTCCTGGCTGTGTAACTCTGTCTTGATAAGTAGTCTGCAATCATATTTTGTCAGTTTTATTACCTCAATCGTAAATGTAAAATTTAATATATTCAATACCAATCTTCTTATTTCCTTTGTTGTAACTGAATCATCTAACTTTTCGTTATCCACCATTTTACTTGTGTGTTATCTGTTCTTACAATAAATTTATTGTAAACAATATATGGTTCAAATGCTAATAAACATTTATATAATGCGAATAATTCTTTTCTATTTATTTCCCATTTTATTTGTGCTTCTGTATAAGATTCTGAATAATATCTACAATGGTGTTCTATTTTTTCTTTCATATTTGTATTTTAAAACTCCTCCGTAACTATGATCACTCGAATCTGTTTCAACAATGTAAGTAAATGTTTATTTTCATCAGGAAAATATAGTTTTGGTAATTTTTTACATAGATCTTTAATAATTTTTATATGTTTTTATCTTTATTATCAAAATGATATTCTACATCTTTTTAAGTTTTTATGTAACGGTTTTAAATGTTCTGCTAATTTTGGTATATATTCTCTTACCTGGTTTACTAATCCTAGAAAGGATTGTAATTTCTTTTTTGTATCTATATTTTCATCAATATTAATTATTTTTTGTACTATATGAGTTTGCATTTTTATTCCATTTTTATCTATTTGTATTCCTAGAAATTCTATTTGTGATTTCATAATTTCTGCTTTTCTTTTACTCAAACTTATACCTGTATTTTTTACTATATGTATAAATTTTTCCAATAATCTTATATGTTCATCTTGTGTTCTAGAATATAACAATATGTCATCTATATATACAATACAGTTTTCTAGTTGGTTAAAACAGTTATCCATAAAATGTTGGAATCTACCTGGTGCATTTTTATATCCAAAAGGTAAAACATTCCATTCATAGAAACCTTGCGGTACTGTGAATGCTGTTAATTGTTTGGATTCTTCTTCTAGTTTTAGGTGGTAAAATCCTGATTTGCAGTCAAATTTGCTAAAATAATTATATCCTTGTATCTGTCTTATTTTTAGTATTTTGTTTGGTATCGGATAATTGTATGTTTTAGTTTTAGCATTTAGATTACGATAATCTATGACCATTCTACTTTTACCTCTTTTTTGTTCACTGTGTTTTATTACTATAAATGCTGGACTTGTATGTTTACTATTGCTTTTTTGTATGTAATTATTTTCTAACAATTCATTTATATGTATTTTAAATTCTTCTAGATCATCAAAGTTATATTTTAATGGTTTCTGTGTTATTATACTATTTTCATCTATTAATTCAATTTTTACTTTTGTCTTATGTTTTTCCCATCCTTGTAATGGATCTTCACTATATAATTGTTCTAGTCGTTCATTAATTAATTTGACTTTGTCTATAGCAAATATAATAATTTCTAATTGCGTTATTTGTTTATTATTTATATTTTCCATTTCTTGGTTTATCTTTTCACTTCCTTTTATCCATTCCATAGGTTTTCGTTGTTTATTATTTACTCTTTTTGCTCCTATCTTATTTCCGCATGGTGTAGTAAGCCACCAATGTGTTTTTGTTATTATGTGTGGATAATATTTATCTAGAAATGGCATTCCTAATAACATATCTTTTGTAGTAAATTCAAAATTATACATTTCTTCTATTGTTAGTATTTTATCCCATATTTGTATTTTTATATTTTTTGCTTTGTATTTAATCATACTTCCTTCATTATTAAATCCCGTTACTACCATAGGTGTTTTTAATTTTTCCCATTTATCTTCTGGTAAGCAATTATATTTACATATATTCGCTTCTGCTCCTGTATCTATCATAGGGGTATAATATCTGTTGTGATATCCTTCTACTATAATTTTTGCAAGTATAAATATTTTCATTAATCATTTTGTTCTTTTTATAATTATTTTCTTATTTTGACAGGTTATTGTTAATTGTTCATTTTCTATATTGTATGGTTTGACTTTTTTCTAACCATTTTATTCCTAATGTAATATTATGATTTCCTTGGTATATTTTAAATTGTATTATTAAGGGTATTCCTCTTATAATTATTTCTTTTTCTGTTGTTTCTTCATTCGTGTTCACTATCTCACTAGGTAGTCCACGGCATGTATGTCCTGTTCTTATAATTTCTTCTTCTAATACTAACTCTCTTGTTATATAATTTTCTTCTTGTCCTGTATTTATTAATATTTTATATTTTCTTTGGTCTATTATTCCTGTTATGAAATAATGATATGGTGTTATTTCTTCTTTATCTAATAAGCTTTGTGGAATTTCATATTTTCTTTTAGATGTACTCATCCTTGATGAGGTAGCTCTTGTCAATGTATTTGATACGCTTGAAGTGCTTAATCTTTCTTTTACTATTTCTAAATCTTCTTCTATATCAATTTCTTTATAGCTATAGTCATTATTGTCTATTACAGTAATTATTTTTTCAAAAGGATTTTCTATTTTTATTTTATTAATTTTATTTCTTGCTGTTATTTTATGCTTTGTTGTTAATATATATAAATTTTTACATCTTGCTGTAAATAATTTGCTCCCTGGTGCTAGTTCTATTCCAGACATTTTCCAATATAGAACTAATGATCTATCTATATTTTTATCTGTTAATGATACTGTATAATTAG